TTTTTCAAATTGTAGTTTATACTCATTCACACAGGGGTTATAAACACAAAAAGGCAGGACGTGGGGAAGGGGATGACACTGGAGCGTGGGTGTTCAGGGGGAATACAGATATCTTTCAGAACAGGATATCGGCTGCCTGAGGGTTCAGGGGACACGTCACTATGACTCTGACTATGATTCACTTATCCTTATCTAAGTTGGTATTATCTGCCGAGGCTACCTATTTACAAGGTCTATGACTACTCAGGCTGGTGAATTTTCACAAAAACTGCCTGTTTACAATAACTTAATGCCATCTGTTTCAGTGTTTATCCACAGAGACCCAAGACTTGGTGTTAGTATACATGTATGTTAGTATACAGGCCTATTGCTGATTTTAGGACTATGGCTGATTTTAGGCCTTCAGTGTGTAAGCAGGGATGCCTCTGACATCTCCCTTCTCTAAGTATAGACAGGCTGTGGCAAATCTAATCTTGCGAAGGTGGGGATAGAGGCCTGACCCCCAGTAATTGAGGGGGACCTTGTAATGGCTCTGGTCCCCCTGTTGTTGATGGACTGTTGTCTTAATGTCTTTAGTTATAACTTTTATGCTGTCTATTAAATGAAAGTCTCATAAATGTAAAAAATAAAAGACCACTGTTTTCTGCCATCCACTGTGCGTCTGGGGTAATTCAGAGATGATGTTGTATACAGCAAGACATCTAATTCAGCTCCTGGACCTACTGTCTACTAAGTGGTCAGCAATTGGAAGAAATGTTAGGCTGGGATCTACCCAGTCATCTACAACAATATGTGTTCACTCTCATTCTCTGCCATGCCCAACAGAAAGTTGCTCCATCTCATTTAATGGTCATTCTCTCCTGGAGCCTGTCTCTAACCACCATGTCCAAGGTCATTCCAGCTCCTCAATTCTTCATGAGCTACTTTATAGCTCTCGGCCTGAGCTAATGTACAGGCTCAGTGTCCATCTGCTTCAGCCATGACTATTTCCTTTCCCCAAGTCCAGAATCTCCAAGAGGGAACGAACCATGACTGCTTTGATCCCACTGGAGCAGCCATTTCTGAAATAACCATTTATCTGTTACATATTTTGTATGCATTTTCGCCAAATTTTCTGGTCCTCCTTTACCTATAAGTCATCTGTGGTCAGGTCTGCTAGCTTTTCCATCATGGCTTTGGAGGTTTTGCTATGTGTATTTTTTTTTTTCATTGTTTCCTTGGACGATGCCCGTTGAGTGAGGAAAAGATGAACAGTTCTTTTTCAGGGCACTACCCCACACCCCTACACACACACGCACACGCACACGCACACGCACACGCACACGCACACGCACAC